CCAGAGCAATAACCATTTTGTTAGCCTTTGCAGTATGTGTGTGTGTGTGTGTGTGTATGCACTCAGGAAGAGAGAGTGGCAGAATGGAGGAGCAGGGGTCAGGAAAAGAGGAAAGGCAGTTTTGGCTGCCGTGGAAGGGGAGGAGCAGGGCATCAGGCAGAGTGGAGGTGGGGATGGGGATCTGGGGACAATCGGAGGGGTGGGGTTGTAGACAAAAGATCGAGGTGATGTCTAGTGGTGATATGAAGACCAAGACTTTTAGTTTAGAGAGGGAAGGAGTGGGTGATTCTGGTTTAGATGGAGATGCCCAAGACTCCTTTAATGGAGATGTTAGAGTGCAGAGTACAGCCCAAAAGTGTTGTCAACAGAGAGAAAGAGGCTCCCATCCCAGTGACCCAGAGTTCCTTGGATGAGTTGGAAACTCTGACGGGGTTGAATAACCTGGGCCCTGTCATTGGAACATTTGTGCTGCGAGGAGTCAGGATGGGGGAATGCCACAAGGGGCACCAGGGTGTCCCTGGGGACAGTCCCATTTCTAATGACCCCACTGGCCACATGGGGGGCAAGCTTTTGTGGGGGGCCCCAGGTTGGGACATGCTCTTACCCCGTGTCTGGTCTGGTTGCAGCAAAAGCAGGGACCAGGAGGGTTCTTGCTTTGGATGTTGGAGTGTTGGGGCCAGATGAATTTTGGCTTTGGAAGGCTGAGGCCAGCTTGTTATATTTGATTTTTCTGTCCCAGTCCTTTCCTCTTTTTGCCTCATCCTCTTGGTTGTTTTATACCTTAAAGGCCACATCTAGGAGCTCTTTTGGGGGTGGGAGCTTTAGGCCTTTTTCTAGCTGTCAGAGTTTGCATCTGATATCGGGTGCTGATTGGCTAATGAACTGGACGTGAAGATATAGAGTCCCAGATGAGGTGGTTACATCTAGATTTGTATATTTTTGGACTGTTTTAGTAAAGTGAGATTAAAAAGAGGGCCAGATTTTCAGACAATGAGAAGGGGACATGAACCCAGGTGGGACCCTCTGGCCCTGCCACCTCCCTTAGGGGGAATATGTGTATTTGTGCCCTGAGATTGAATGACTGGGGGGTCCAATGTGATGGGGACATGGGGAAGGTAACAGGTAGAGCCAGCCCATGTGTTTGGCAAAGAGATACTGGAGAAGGGAGAGAGGAGAGACAGTGGTCAGGGAAGGGAGAGAGGAGACAGGAGACTGGTGGGTCTGTTTGACCTGAGTGGGTGGTCAGGGGATCCTCTATAATTGTAGAGGTGTTAGAGGAGGAGGGGGAAGGAGCTTCCAAGGGAGGCTAGGAGGTTGAGGACGGGGGTTGTTAGAGGGGAGTTGAGCTGTTTGGGCAGTGCAGAGGGTGGGGGTCAGTAAGGAAGGGGCTCATTAGCTGGATCAAATGCATCTAGATTGAGGAGTGAGGAATTGGCTTTGGATTTTGAGGTTGGTCCAGGAAGGAAAGAGGGGGAACAGAGAAGGAGTTCATGGGAGGAACAGTCCTTACATAAAGGCGGTCAGTTGTGAAAGGTGGAGGAATGCCTATAGGTATGGGGGGAGAAACCTGTCCCACATGGTTGGAAGTGGGTAGTGGAGAACAGAGGAAGAAGGGAACCTCAGACTACTTGCCATTCCATTTGAGGATGTTACACAGGTTCATACATAAAGGATGTTTTGATTGGAAGTGCTGAATTCTGGCCAGCAGTTGCGGTTATCTAATTTGTACTGAGGCCAAATTTACAAGCAAAGTTGCACCATTTTGCAGAGGTTTAATTTTTTTTCAACATGTAGACCAGGGGCAATTGAAATTCTGAATCGCATGGTGTGAGGCAAAGATTGAGGGACTCCTGCTGCTGGGCTAAGTTGTCACTTAACACAGAGACTGTGGCAGTCAAGTTGGGTGTCCCCTCATTCACTGTGGGTCAGATGAAAGCCAGAACCAGTAGGTGGAGTGCACACAGGAGTGAATTTAGGGGTCCTCTTGTTCACTGGTGGGTGCGACCAAAGCCCGAGCCTAAAGGCAGAGGACAATATCCTAGGGTGCCTCTAGAATATACCCAGATGGAGGCGTCTTACCTTACTTCACAAGGGGCCGAGACCGGTGTTCGGATGTGATTTTGCTCGAATGCTCTGGGGGTTGGCTTAATAGAAAGGGGTGGGAGAGAAGATGAAAATCCGAGGGGCAGGTTTGCACTGACTCCCAGGTGAGCTGGGCAGGTGGCTGCTCCTGAATGCCTCAGCAGGAGGGGGCTGGGCATGCTAACCGAGTGACAAGGTCAGGGCCAAGGCAGCTCTGGGCTCCCAAGCCAGGTCAGAAATGAAACTAAAAGGGAGTTGACTCTAGGATAAAGAGAAAAGTTTGGAAGGAGGTAAGGGGATTAAGACACAGAAAAACCCATTCCCGGTACGGGCCACCAATATGTTAGGTTTGGAATAGCTCAAGATTCTGGGCTTTCGTACCCTTAGAAAGGAGAGATGGACAACGGAGACAGAGATCGACCTCAATAGAGACAGGCTGCTTTATTGAAGCAAAGAGTTTGGCGACAATCTTCGGAGACACTGTATTCAAAGCACAATTAGAGACACTGCACGCAAAGCACAATTAGGGCTGGGGTTTTATCTGGTGAAGGAGGGAAAAGACTTTGCAGCTGGTGGAAAGTAGGGAGTAGGGGGCCCTTTGAAACTGCTGGGAACTCTTCCTCTTATCTGTTGCACAAGCTGCCCTGTGTAGCTCATCTGTTTTGCTAGTTGTTTTGCAAGGAGTCGGGGAGGTTGCACCTGGTTCTGTACCAAGGGTCTCAATCAGAAGGGAGGAAATGGGGCTGTGGGAAAGGGAGGGGGGAAGGGAACAGAGAAGGGGCAACATGCCCTTTAACCACCAGCTCTAATTATTTACAACTGAGTCACACATGGCACCAAAACTTAGTGGCTGAAAACAACAATCCTTTATTTTTGGAAAGGGCTCAGCAGGGACCACTTGTCTCTGCTCCATAACGTGTAGGATCCATGACTCCAGTGGCTGGGGACAGCTGGGGGCTGGGAAGGCATCGCTCTTCCCACTGGCTCTGACAGCTCCCTGCGGTCTCTCCCACACTCTGTCCAGCATAGTGGTCTCAAGGTAGCTGAGTTCAGTGGTATCTGGGGGCTTCAGAAAGCAAGGATTTCCAGAGCCCCAAGCGGAAGTCACCAAGCATTTATGATCTAGCTTCAGTAGTTTCTGGTCATGGCCATTTTTCCATCAGATTCTATTGATTGAACAAATATAGCTGAAATTTAAGGGGAAGATATAGACCCTACCTCTAAATGGCAGGAGTGGCAAAGAATTTGCCATTATGTTCAATCCAATACTGCATCTTGCCAAGTCCTCACAATGCCTCTTCATGGATTTCTTTTTTCTCCCAGATTATCATTAGTGACAGCTGGGAGGCAGCAATGCACAGAGTAAGGCAAGCGAGGGCTGTGGAGCCCCATCCACCCCACACCCTGGTCCAGGCAGGATCTGGCCTGCAGACACCTGCCTGGGTTCCTAACTCAGAGCCCTTGTTTCCTCCCGTGTCACACGAGGACAGCACAGCTGTTCCCCAGTCTCTGCCCCGGATTGGCTTCAGGATCCCTCAGGGACACCAACATTCCCAGATGTTCACAGTGTTTGCACAGACCCTACACACATTTACCTGTGCCTTTTAAATCATCTTAGATGACTTACAATGTGAAAGCTATGGGAATCATTGTTACATTGTAGTGTTTAGGGACTAACCACAAGAAAAAAAAATCTGTGCTTGTTCTGTGCAAAGGAAACCACCAGGGGCCTAACTACAGAGTATGCACCAGCTACAAAGTAACATCTTTTCTGAATATTTTGCAGTTAGTCAATCACGTGTGACCAGCAGCTAAGGAGAGCTGGCTGGGCAACCACAGTGGCCAACAAATGCACTTCTTAAATCTTCCAGGGCAGAGAGCAAGAGCGGCCCCTGGCTCTGCTGAAATCTAGCCAGATGCTCACCCAAACTGGGTGTGGGGCCAGCTTCTCAAGGCTGCTCCCAAGCCAGGATGAGTGCAGCAGAGACGCTAAAGGGAGGCCTGCTCCTGGGAGGAGCTAGTTTGGCTCAGAGACCCCGCCCCTTTGTCACGTCCTTGGTGCTTCCCACCTGACCTTCCTTCCTTCCTGTTTCCCTCGCTAGGCTTGTCCCTGCACCTCGGGGCCGGCTCCCTGTCCCTTTCCCGTCTCCCCACAGTTTCTGGAAGACCAGGAGAAGCACAATTGCCTGTGCCCAGGGATGCCGGGGGTACAAGGGGAGGGTGGGAATCACCTAGGGTGCCGCCGGGCCGAGAAGTAGCTCCCACCCTCATTCAACAATAGATGTGCAGGCCTTCGCCAAGGTGCGTGGCGCACCGTGGGGAACAAAGTGCGCAAAGCATGCAGCGCTGCCTGCATTATGCGTCCTGCTGACTCCCAGCTCTTCAGTAGCACACGGAGAGCCGTCAAGGTGTAGTCCCGGAGGGACCGCCCACACCCGGCACACCTGAGCCCACGGCCCAAAGGCCCGCCCCTCGTGCGCTCTCGCCCCCCAACTCCTTTGCCCAGCGGTTCCTTCTCCGCGAAACGCCTCCTCCTCCCTCTCTCGCGACCCTCCCTTTCGTGACAGCCACCCCCCCCCCAGACTCAATTCCCTTGGGAGGTCCCGGGTCACCAGGCTGCGCGAGCCTTCTAAAGGCACCCGTCACTCTGCGCTCTCCTGGCTGTCACAGGGTCCCCGCTAACCGGGGAGCCCCCGGAGCAGGGCCCTGAGGGGCACGCTACTACAACTGGGCGCCTGGCCCGCCGTAGGCCCTCAGCGCGCACCTGCGGAGCGGGTGCGTGAACCAGCGAATCGGCCGCGCTGGGTGCAGTGCAGCGGGGCCTGGCCGGGGCCCGGAGGCCGCCGCGGGCCGAATCGCGGCGGCGGGCGCGCGCACAGGACTGCGGCGGCCGCCTGGCCCCGCCCGCTTCCCCGCGCAGTCGCCGGCCGTCGCCTCCCGGGGTTGCGGCGAGGCGGGTCCTCGAGTGGCACGGCCCTGCGCGCTCCCTGCACCCTCCCGAGCTGCGCCAGCCCCGGAAACCGAAACCAAAGCCCGGCCCTGCTTTCCGCGGGCCCGCCGGCCGCCTGCACCGAGGGCCGCGCTCGCCCGGCCGCACAGTCCAGAGCCGCGCGCACCGGCCCGGAGGCTCCGGGAGCTGGGCGCGGGGAGCGCGCGGACCGCGAGGGTCCCGGGGCTTCCGGCCGCTGCTGCTCGCCCCCTGCGCTTGGAAGCCGCGCGCAGAATGGGCAGGTGCGGCTTCTACACGGCGGGGACGCTGTCCCTGCTGCTGCTGGTGACCAGCGTCACGCTGCTAGTGGCCCGTGTCTTCCAGAAGGCCGTGGACCAGGCCGTCCAGAAGGTGAGGCAGGGCGGGCGGCGCGTGCACGCCCGTGGGGTGTTCTGTTTGTGTGTGTTGGGGCTGTGTGTGCTGTGAATGGGCAGGGTGTGTGTGTGTGTGTGTGTGTGTGTGTAGATCGGTGTGTGTTGTGTGTGTTGGGAGCTCTGTGTGTGTTGGGGGAGGGGCTCTCCAGCCCACCCCGTCGAGAGGAGACTAGCACGTGGGCAGATACCTCCATTCTCCCTGGAATTCCTGGGCCTAGCAAGCGTGGTTCCCTTTATCATAACAAAAGTCTGGGTCCTGCCTAAGGAGACTTCTGTTCCATTGCTTGAGGCTCTCCCCACCCCCTCCCTGCGAGAGCCCAAGACCCCTCCCACTGGAGGAAGAGAGAACAGAATGAAAGACTGCACAGAAGCGGCAGACGGGCAGACGCTGCTGGTCCCCGGCTTGGCCTTTGAGGCGGGGCGGGAGGTGTGTGGTCTGCGGGTGTCGGGGTGCCCCTGGGCCAGGCCCCCGAGCTACCCAGCGTCTCCGCCGCTTGATGTCTTGAGTCCGCGGCGTGTGGCGTTGTCTCCCCGTAGAGATCCCGTTGAGTTTCCTCTGTGAGCGCCCCTCATTCCAGGAGGCTTCCCCTGTTTTGACGTTACCTTTGCTCCTTCTGCCCTTTCACCCACTTCCGCCGAGCTGTGTGGAAACAGGAACAAGGGAGAGTTACTGGGATCAGCTTTTCCTAAAACAAGAAAACATCAGGGGAGCAGCCTTTCTCCTTAGCGCCATCACCCGCTGTGGCTGCACTGCCCAGGCCTAGGCAGTTGGAGTCCCCACGCCCGCCCGTCTGTCTTATCCAGGGAATGGACGCTTCCAGAAGTTATCAGTTATTTGCAATCAGGCAGTTAAAGCAACTTAAAAAAAAAAAAAAGCAGTGAGGCATAATTAAACTTTGCCAAGGGCAGACAAGACCCTCTGTCCCAGCTTCTCAAAGACCACTGTTTCCCCCTGAGCAAAAAAAAACTGAATCCTTTTTCCATGCCTGCACAGGCAAATCCCTGGGGAGGTTTGTTGGAGGTGGGAACTCTTGCTTTGAGTGACTGCAGTTAAGCAATTCAGTTCCAATGAATGCGTGGGTTTTGGTGGGGGGCTTAGGAAGGCTGTTTCTGGGGGAACCCTGTAGGATGAGGGACCCTCCCAGTGGCTCTGGTGGAGCCGACCCGAGGTCCTCTGGGAGTCTCCATTGTATCAGCCGAGGGACTGGTGTGTGGCAGTGTGGCTGAGGCCTGAGTTTCCAAGAGGTTTTCTCTGTGAGGACTTAACTGTGAGAGGCCGTGGATTTGCGGAACTGTCCCCACTCCTGCTAAGGAGCAGGGCCAGTGTGATGGTTGAAAAGAAAGGACAGCTACGTCATCTGGTGAGATCTGGGAATAATTGTCAGCTGGCCTGAGAGCGCTGGTTTCTGTTTTTCCTGGACAAGCTGGAGGGTGGTAGCCAGCAGCCCAGTAGGAGAGAGCAGGGACTTTGCAGGTGAATCTGTTGGGAGTAAAGCCCAGCTGCCCAGGGTCAGCTGGTCACTTCACCTTTGTGGCGTTCCCACTTGCCAATGGGACAGTAGCGACTGATGTGTCTAGGGAGGTGTAAGAGTTACCTGAGGGGCCGGTGCTGTGGTGTAGCAGGTAAAGCCTCCACCTGCAGTGCTGGCATCCCACCCATATGGTCACCTGTTCGAGTCCCGGCTGTTTCACTTCCGATCCAGCTCTTTCTGTGGCCTGGGAAAGCAGAAGGAGATGGCCCAAGTCCTTGGACCCCTGTACCCACGTGGGAGACCCAGAAGAAGCTCATGGCTCCTGGCTTTGGATCAGCTCAGCTCTGGCTGTTTCAGCCATCTGGGGAGTGAACCAGCGGATGGAAGTGCGCTTGCTTGCTCTCTCTCTCTGACTCTGCCTTTCAAATAAATAAATAAATCGTTAAAAAAAAAAAAAAAGAGTTGCCCGGGACAGTGGGTATGATTGTCCTGGGATGTAGTTAGAAACCACATGAAGATTTAGCACGCACTCTCTATTCTGATCCTAGCCTCATCGCTCACAAGCTTTTTGACTTCGGGCAAGTAGTTATGTGACTTCGCCAAGCCTTGATTTCATTGCTTGCAAAAGTGGGCAAATGAGACATTAGCTCCTTGGGCACTGCGGTGGTATTTGCCTGGCACAGGCCCTTTGAAGCCTCCTACCTGATTCTGGATCCAAATTGCTTTTACCTTAGGAAGAGCCCTTCAGATTCTGTGCATCCTGGTTTTGCTTCTTCCTGGGGTAAGTGTAGAGCCCCTGCCTTCCTGCCAGTAATATTGCTGAGGAATAAGTCGTTCCTACATTGACTTTAATACTCTGATACTGCCAGGTCTTCAGTCTTTTCACTTGAAGATCGTCCGTGTCCAGGCTTGTCTGCATCAAAAAGAGGAGCAGGAAGAGGCAGGAGACTCACATGCGTAGGTTGAGCTAATTCCAGGAAGCTTAGTAAAAGAATTCTGTCGCAAGCATTGGTCTCAAGGAATGGTTCTTCTTGAGCCCTGGTGACCAGGGGTGAGGGAAGAGACTTTTATTTGGACCCGTGATTACAGTGGAGGGCGCCGAGACCCTCTGTTCCCATTCTTGGTCTCCCTGGTGACTGCCTGGTGTTGAGCAAGCCCTGTCATTGTTTCTGCTTGGATTTTCTCATCTGCAAAAGTGCCGCAGTAGGACCTTCCTCTTCTGCCCGCACCCACTTCCTGGGGATACTGTGGACATTCCTAAGGCTTTCTCTGGCCAGTGTTGGGGTCTCTGAAGGCAGAGCTGCTCAGGGCCCCAGTAGTCCATTCTCTTCCCCATAGCCTGGAAGGACAGGAGTCTCTGTTGCAGTCCTTTTGCTCAGCCAGCCTCTCCCTCTGGCGGCTAGCACCATGCCTGCTGCGCTGTGAATGGATGCCTGCTAACTCAACTTTCTATCGTTGTGCTGGAGAATCCTCAGAACCACGTCCTGCTGCCTCCAAAGGCTTGTTAAGCTAAGCGAGCTGAGGTGCAAGTAATTTCACCATCCAAGCCTCGGTTTTCTCATTTGGAAAATGGGCATCGTAGAAATAAGCAAAAGATAAAATGATGGCCATAAAGCACCTAGCACAGGGCCTTGTGCAAGGCCCGCAGGTCAACCCTTGTTCTTGCCTTTAGCTGTTATCTTCTCCTCTGTGAATTGAAGCACATATAAGAGCCCCTTTCCTTGTAGTTCTAAGCTGGTGACATTCTGTGACACAAACACAGCAATCTTTGTTTAAGAGCAGCAACCTGGAGCCGGTGTTTTGGCACAGGGCATCCAGCTGCAGCTTGCAACACCAGCATCCCATTGTCATTGCCGGTGTGAGTCCCGCTTCACATCCAGCTCCCTGCTAATGTGCCTGACAGAAGACAGTGGATGGCAGCCCAAGTATTTGGACTCCTGCCACCACATGGGAGGTAGATTTCCTGGCTCCTGGCTTCAGCCTGGCCCAGACCAGCAGATAGAAGATCTCTGTCTCTCTTTCTCTCTCTTCCTTTCAAATAAGTTAGAGAGAGAGAGAGAGAGAGAGAGAGCGAGCAAGGGAGCAGTCATGTAGCTTGGGATGTGAAATCCGCCCACCTGACCCTTGCAGCCTTGCTCGCAGTCTGCACACCTCCCAGAAATGGGGATGCAGAACTGGCCACAGCCTGGGCTGGCTGGCAAGGGAGCCGTGGGAGGGAAGGAGTCTGTCCCCGCTCTTCCTCCTCACAGCCGCACACAGAGCTGCAGCCGTGCGTCTCAGGGAAGATAGCAGGATGGATCCAGCTATCCTCGCCTGGGCCCCAGGCCCTGGGCACGTGACTGCCAGCTGTGGGAGCTAGGCAGCTTCAGAGCTGTTCCGCCAGTGCCTTGAGAAGTAACAGCAAATCACTGATGACTTATCCAAGTAGCCTTGCCTGGGCTATTGTTAAATTTTTACTTATCTCTCAACCACTGGTTTACTCCCCCAAATACCTGCAGCAACGGGAACTGGGCAGTGCCAGAGCTGAACCCCAGGAACTGGGAACTCCACTCCAGTCTCTCTGTGGGTGTCAGTGACCCACTTGGTTGAGCCATCACCACGGCCTCCCAGTGTTCACCTTTGCAGGAAGCTGGAGTCAAGGGCAGAGCAGGAATCCAACCCAGGCACTCCGGTGTGGGACACGAGTGTCCTCACTAGCATCATCCTAACCCGCTGGACCAAAAGCCTTCTCCTGGAGCTGCCGCCTTCTGTTTTTTAACGATGTATTCATTTATTTAAAAGGCAGAGTTAGAGAGAAGCAGAGGCAGAGAGAGAGAGAGAGAGAGAGAGAGAGAGAGAGAGAAAGGTCTTCATCTACTGGTTCACTCCCCAAATGGCTGCAATGGCCAGAGCTGGGCTGATCCAAAGCCAGGAGTTTCTTCTGGGTCTCCTATACAGGTGCAGAAGCCCAAGACTTGGGCCATCTTCCACTGCTTTCCCAGGCCCATTAGCAGGGAGCTGTATTGGAAGTGGAACAGCCAGGACTGAACCCAGCATCCGTATGGGATGCCGGCACTGCAGGCAGTGGCCTTATCCATTACGCCACAGTACCGGCCCCCTGAAGCCTTCTCGATTAAGGTAAAATAAAGCTTCTTTGCTGCATAAGGATGGTCAGCTCTGTGAAACCTCAAAGGATCCCTTCCTGTGTATCCCCCTCATCTCCTACTATGCCTCTATTCATAGTTAAGAAGCGTAGAATCTTGGTCTGGTTTTTCTTCTTAGCCATCGCTGAATCTGTCATTTGACAGCCCAGGGAAAAGACTGTGGGAAAGTGACTTAACTACAGCTAAACTGAGAGGGATGGGGTCAGGTCTCCCAGTACTGAGCCTGTCCCACATCACAAGGGTGACCGTACCTCCCAGTTGTCTGGTTTGGGCTGGAAATCCTGCGGCCACCTGCTAGCCATGGACATCACATTGTCTTAATGCACCACACCGTGCCCCGCTTCTCAGCACAAGGGAGGAGC